AAAACCTGCCGAATTGGGTGCCAGACCATATTAGAGCATCCTTGCCACCCTCCTGCAAACAGAAAAATCGCTGCCTAATCATCTTCAAGGTTTCAGGTGCCACCCTCGCCCCTAGTTTCCTGAAGTCCCATGTCCCTTCCAGCCAATAGCTCGAAACATCCTCGCCTCCGGCCAGGCGAGGGAACTGCCATGCCAGAGGGTCGTCGCCCAGCCAATTGTCCCGCCAAAACGAAACGCGGCTCTACCACATCCCAGATTGCATGACGCTCCACCAACGGTCGCGCCCACAACATTCTCCTCCAAGCAGCCGATGTCATATACTTTGCCATCACCTGGTTCGGGTGCTCCCCCTTACAATGCCGTGCTAACATGAACTCCGTCCACAAAGACCCTTCTTGTTTAAATCACCACCACAGTTTGCACGAGAGCGCCTGCACCACCACCTGAAGCAATCGAAAAGCCAAACCCCTCTCCTCCCACTGCTGACATAATCGTGGCCAAGAGTGCCAATGTCATCGCTCCTTCCCATCAACAGCACCCCACAAGAAGCTCCCCAGCAGTCGATGTATATGATGGACCACCCTCTTACGGGGATCCAACACTGAAAGCAGGTATATCGGCATTGATTGCAGGACAGATTTGATCAGAACCATTCGACCACTAAAGGAGAGCCATTTGGATGACCAACTCCTTATTCTGCTAGCAATAGAATCCACGAGCTCTGAGAAAAGATGGCCGACTTTCCTCCCTAGGAATAAAGGGCATCCTGGATACTTAACCAGAAAAGGCTTAAATGTGAAGCCAGTCTCCCTAGCAAGCAATGCACGCCTAGGCAGAGAGCATCTAGTTGAAGTGAGAAAGCAACTCTTGCTCTTATTAATGAGTTGGCCCGAGCAGTCCTGATACTGCTGAAGGACCCTCATCACGCATTTAACAGAATGCACGTCTCCTTGAGCGAAAACAATAATGTCGTTCGCGTAAGCAAGATGCGTAATGGGACTCGACCACCTATCTACAAAAAAAGGGCTGAAGCCCGGCTCATCAAGCAAGGCGTTAAGGCCCCCGTGAGAGCACCTCTGTAGCAATGATAAATAGAGTTGGAGAGAGCGGGTCCCCTTGCCTTAACCCACAGGTAGACTTTAAAAAACCACAAGGCTGACCATTAACCAAAATCGAGAAATGACAATTGGAGAGTAAGTGCCACACCATATCAATAAATAACTCCCCAAAACTGAAGGCCCGTAAAATTAGGTTTATTCCCTTGCTCCTTCAATGAAAAATTAGGGTGATTATGCTACCCTGGATTATAAGTGTTTGAGAAGGTATCATTTCTCTATTACATTCGCTAACCTCCATAAGCTCCATCAAAATTAACATCCTCCACCATAGTAAAGGGCTTTCTATTATAGCAACCCACAATTGTATGCCTGTATGTGTTACAATTAGTACAAGGCTCTGACTGGTGAATTCCATAGGCAAGCAATGATTGCATTTGTTGTATTTGTTTACTTAACTCAGCCACTTGTGAACCCAAATTTCTTTGTATAGATAGTTCATGTACACTTGCTCTCTTACCCCGAATAGCCTTTCATTGATAGTTACTAGATAGCAACTCGTAAATTCTAACTAATTCTTTCGGAGTCTTGTCCCCAACGTACTCTCCTACTACAAAGTCTGCCATATTTTTCATCATGAAAGTTTGTGACGACCCCACCTCCCCCTAAGGCGTACCAAAGGGTTCGGCGGACCGCCTGCCCAGCTCTCGCCAGGACTCACTCACTATCTCAATCGAGTCATGTACACACATCCATAAACTATAAATAACATTCACAATTCAAGCTTATAATTTACATTGATAGAAATCGAGGTACAAAGTCTCAATACACCAAACTAGTTCAAAACGTATACAATCCAAGTACAACATGTTCCATTCGAGGAATAGCGCGAGTACAAGACCAAAAGTCAAAAGTCAAAACAAAAGGCTACGCTAGTCTTTTACAAGTCTCACGCGTCACTCGTACCCCCTGTAAGGAAAACAAATAGCGTGGTATGAGCTAAAAGCCCAGTGAGGTTCCAAATAGCAAATTGACCATTATTTATAAGTACAAGTTTTCGATATAGGAAAGTAACGAGCATGAAGAGTTCATAAGAGTGAGCAATAACACTTCAAGTAGCAATCTCAAAATGAGCGAGTGTAAAAGTTTTCAGAAGACACTATAATCCAATAAACAATAAACAATAATCATTCCAAGCATAAGGATACGGATGGCTCTCAGGAGCCAACTTCCATTCATCATCAGGAGCTTGATCACATAGTAGTTGACACTTCGTCAACTTTCAAGTAAAGGAACCAATCCAGTAGAACACCACTTACACTACTCTCCGTCCACCATTCACACCCCCTACTGGGCCCAAAATCCTCAATAAACACGGGTGGTAATACTCGAGTATACCGATTAGTCGAGGAGATATCACTCCACTCGACAATACAAGAGACCCAGGGTTCGTTACCCAATCGACCAAGCCCTTGCCGGCTCGACTAGAGTAACTCGCCACAGGGTTTCTGGAATTCCAGGAAGTGCGCGCATCATAACAAGTATATCAAGTCAATTCCAATCAATAAACAGGTATATCACGTAAGGGCAAGTGCGATAAAGTACACTCTTGCCCTAACAATTCACGCATGTGACATGTAATCATATTGGCACGTATCAAGTACAAGTATCAAGTTCAATTCAGTATTTGAAAGCACTCACCAAAAGATATAGTGCTTTTACTGGTCACTTTCAGGTTATACTCCGAGTTCGGAGTCCAAATCTGCGATAAAACTCAATTTGAGAACTTTGAAACATGACTAGAGTTCGAAACTTAGACGTTTCGTTCAATAAGAATCAAGAAATTGAAATTCACTCGGACAGTAGTCATGAAACACTTGCTCGCTTTTTAAACGATAAAACTTTGTAACATTTATACTTGAAATTGTCATGTGAGTCGAGAGTACAAGGAAAACGTACTTCGAGCAATCATTATTTCATTTCCCAAGGGTACAAGTGTAGTCAAGTCCTAACGTTTAACACTCAAGAAACATAATAGCCAAAGTCCTCGCTAGCTCAAGTTTTAAGTACTTAACCTTCACCCAAGTCGAAAATATAGTATTCTAGCCCTCGAGTAAAAATTCGGGCAGCATGCCCTTTGTGTTTACCTAATTTCCAGCCATTTAGGCTTCATTGTTTTTCTCAAACACAACCCAACATCATACATATCAGCAATTTATGTCAAGAGCCGTTCCATAGGCTCACAATATCATAATAACAAGAATTACAATGATAACAAATGCAGAAATTCAACTTAGCACAAGACAGATTTGACGTACGAATGCGGAAATAACTTATCCGAGGCTACGCTTATCGGATTAAAACGAAACCTGTGTCATTTCGAAGCTAAGACATAAATCTACAACATTCATGAATATCACTAAGTCCAGTTTCTAATGTAACTTGGTCAAATTCGCAAATCACTAACCAGAAACCAATTCGTCGGCTGCTTAAACGCAAAACACTGTAATGGTCATAACTCAGTGTACACAAGTCCGAATCAGGTGTTCTTAGAGGCATTTAAAAGCTACTTCAGAACACTACAACTTTCATGTTTTGGCCTAGAGCTAAATCAGAATGGATCCTGGTCAAAAAACATGATAAACTGGACTTAACTGAAGAAACGGACTGCTGGGAAATATTTCAAACAGTAGGGGTATTTTGGACTTTTCACGTCCTACGTTGCTCCGATTGAGCTGAAATTTTGTAGGCACCTATAAAATGCCATTATCTACAACTTTTATTCTTTGAGCTAAGGCCAAAACAGCCTCTAACATATAGATAAAAATTCGGACAGAATGTGGAGAGAATTTTCCAGATTTTGGAAATTTTGAGTTTCTAGTGAATCTTTCCTTAATTTCTTGGTCCAATCACTACCAAAACACCATATAACACCTCAATTGCAACATATAAGCATCATACAACCATTTGGGCAGAATTTCCATAAGCCCTAGTTCATCAAATAAATTGGGGAAAACTACTAAAACATACTCATCATTCATGATTCTACCACAATATCAAACTACTAAGCTTAATTTAACAAATTTGAAAGCAAAACTTGGAGAGATAAACTCTCTTACCTTGAATAAAAGTCACCAAGTGTAGCACAAGCTCTCCCCTTCAAGAATCACTCCACCACTCACTAGTTAGTCACTAGAAAACAAGTTTAATCGGTTTACTTCGCTCGATTCCTCACTTATTTGTTGGATTTGGAGATGAAATGAAAGATTTTCCCTTGGAGTTTCTCTCCTTGTTGTTCTCGGCCAGCCCAGCAGAAATGAAGAAGAAAAATGCTAAGTGTTGGATTTAAATGGTTGGGGTTAGTCTTGGGTAAGAAGCCATGAGGTGGTGACAAGTGTCACCACCACCACCCTTTCTTTTTCTCTTTCTTTCTTGCCTTTTCTTGGCCACTAATTTCGGTCAAGGCTGCTTCAATATGAGAAGATATTATGTACAAAAGTCAACAAACTTGTTGGGTAAGAAAAATGGTGGTCAAGTGGTGCGTTCAATCGGTAACACGCGGGACCCGCCGGATCGCGCCGTTTTTATTAAAAACTCACGTACTAGGTTTTTCACTTCCCATTCACTAACCTTATATCATTGCCACTAGTCACATATTATTTCTCACTTAAAAGTCATTTTTAATCCCCAAATTAATTCTTACTCTGTACCGAAAATTCATCCGGCGAAAAATCGTGAAAACCCTAATTTTGCTCCAAATTTAAAACCGAGGCGTAAAACTCTATTTTCTAGGTCTATCTACACTTAATGTGAAATATTTGGGTAGTGGCCTTTGAAATAATAATTTTCAAATAAAAGGGTATTTTTGAGGAAAAATACAAGGAATTTGCGAGTCCTCACAAAGTTAGCCCATCATAGAAAAACTGCACTTGTAGAGCCAAAGGGTATTGGTGATGAGGACATTGACTGAGCAACAGCTTAAATCATTCCCAAGTTTCGTGAATGGCTTCTCCCTCCATTTGAGAAAATATGCAGAATTTTTTTTTGCAAATCAATAGTCTTTTGTGGTGAGTAATACTTGGTCATAAAAATATTGTGCACGTCCCCCACGTTGCCAAAGATCCCTCTGGTAAATTTAAAAGCCATGACTTTGCATGATCACTAAGACAATAAGGAAAACACCTCAATCACAATTCATTTTCAGATAGCCCATTTAATGGAAAAGATGCACCATGGAATAAAATTTTCGAATGATGGTGAGTGGATCCTGATGAGCTAGACCATAAAAAGCAGGTAGCATGTTGAAGTGTATGGTCTTTAGATCATAAATTTATTGCCCCTTCACTCGACCTGATTCAGTGTAGGGATGCTAAACTATGAGGCGCTAAATGTCCCTCAGATGAATTGTAGTAGGTGAAGCCACGGGTGATACAAGTTGCTAATTATTATTGTTGTTATTATTGCCACGATTCTTTTCTGCCATTGTTTCTTCATCTAAACTTGCTGAACCTACCAACTCAATTGTGATATGAATACTAGGTGATGATAGTTATGATGTCTGCTTATGCAAATGCATTTGTTTCCTGTAGTACTTTATAGTTTTTTCAATTTCAAAATCGTACACCAAATCACCCTTTTGCGATCAGGTCATACACCAAGTACCTACGCAAGAGGACAAAAATAAAGTAAAGAACTAGAGATAAGAAAAATAAAACAAAAACAAAGATAAAAAGAGAAATAACTAAAGTAGAGAAATTAATTGTTGTCCCTAGTAACAGTGCCAAAAACTTGATCGATAGATTCTTGCAAGTATATAGGGTCAATCATAGTATAAAATCACCTGGTGTATTTTAGGGGTCGAACCCACAAGGATGAGTTGATATCCTACTTTAATTATTTTGATACAAAAGAGTTAAATCACAGAGAATTTGTTATTGATGAGGATCTCGTAGTTAATCTAACTAAAAAAATTGGGTGAGAAAACAATAGTTGTGAAAGTCTAGGATTCAGGTTTTAATCCAGAGTCTTGACTAAAATTTTCAATTATTTTCTTGCCAAGTTATGAACACATCACACATTTGCATTCTAGATTATCTCTTGATATATCTAAAGTGTGCCTAATTAAATCCTACGTCTCTTTCGAGATCACAAGTATTCTATTAAACCCTTTAAGAACTTTAGTGACACAAGTGCATCATACAAATCCTTAACCTACTCTCGTGATTAGACTAAATATGTTTATCTATTTATTGCGCGGTAGTATCTCTTTTATTAATTCAATACAATTCCAAAAATCATGTTCATGGTGATCAGGCATAAACATGTAATTAAGAACAAAATAGATATAGCAAAAGTCAAGAATTTAATTGGAAGAATAAATCAAATTTCTTTCATAAAACCCTAACCCTAGAAGAGGTTTAGTTCAACATAATTAGAAAATTGAAACCACGAATTCAAAGAGCTGCTACAAATATGAGAAAAAGAGTAAGAAAACTTCTCAATTTCTTGCTCCAATCTTCTCCTTGCATGCTCCTTGATTCGCTTTGATCTTGATCTCTCAAGAATAAACTATGAAAAGATGTTGCAACTAAGCTAGACTAATGTTTTGCACCCCTAAAAACGTCCTAGATAGCCCCTATTTATAGTTTCTTAGATTAACATCCCAAATGAGGTAGGGTTGGGCATATTGGAGTTGAAAAACAATTGTTTTTGCACATTGTTTCTAGTAAGCACCCAAAAAAACACTGGCGAGAAGATCGAAATCAACACCGGCACAAGTTATAATAGAAACATGGACGGATCTCATGGGATCTGTGCATGGATCCACTTTGAAGCCAAAAATCTCTATTAATGAGGCCGAAGCAGCTCTTACTCAAAACATGAAAGTAGTAGCCCTTTAAATTAGCTTTCAATGCCACAAGAATCATGTCATTTGGAGGTCTGGACACTAAGATATGCTCAAAATACTTGGAACTGGTTAGAAGAGCATTACAGCAAAACTATACTTCACTAATTTGGACTTTTGGTTATGAAACGTGAGAACCAGACTTTAATGTCTTATAAGAATTGTAGAGCATTCTCTGTTATTCTTGGTTTTGATGATCACAAAAGTTCGTTGAAATGTTTATACAGACCAAGAAAGTGAACACTTTGATCAGGCCTGATGGAACAAAGTAAGCATATGTTCGATTAACTCCAGACTACGATGCTTTGGATGTGGCAAACAAGATTGGAATAATATAAACAAATTTAGTCATTGTTTTGTTCCGATCAAAGATACTGTCTTTTAAGTATGACAATTTTGTGAGTCTTGGTTCCTTGAAATGTTTTATCTAACTTTCTTCAAATATAAGTGTTGTTGCCTATCAAAGAATCAGGTACGAATATGTCGTGAGCAAAAATAGGACACTCATGTCGGACAGCCGAAAGGAATCTGTCGGACGTCCGAATGGATGAAGAACATCAGGAAGGAGTTTCTGTCGGACGCACATCGATCGTGTCGGACGTCCTAAAAATTCCACAAAGCTTTGATGACTCTCTGCCAAGACTGTCGGACGCTCGCAAGGAAGCATCGGACGTCCTGAAGGATCGGACGCATGCTTCGGACGAACATCAATATCATCGGACGTCCTAAAAATTCCTCGAAGATTTGATAACTCTCTGGACGACGTTCGACACTGAAGCTCGGACGATAAAATTCCATCGGACGTCCGAACTTCAACTTGCTGTTTTTCGGACGATGGTTCGGACGATAATTGATCGTCGGACGTCCGAAGCCCCAACGGCTAGCTGACTCTTCATCTGCCTTCTATCCGTTGGAAGCTTTAATGAAGCCCATTTCTGTTCCCCTTTAAAAACAAACTGTTCTGAACGAAGTAAGGACTTTTGCACACTTGGTCTACAAGATCTCAAGAGATATTTTAGCTAGAAAATAGTCTCCAAAGCTAGATTTGTTCTCTAAGTGGTGTGAATTTCTTGTGAGCTTTTCTCTTGTGGTTGAAAGTTTCATTAGTGTAGCTTTGTTGAGGGTTATCTGAGTGTTTGTAAAACTTTTAGCTTGACTAAGTGAGGCTTAGGGCAAGGAGGAAGTGCTCCCTCCATTGTACATCTAGTTGATCATATTTCATCAAAGAGAAGTTGCTCAACCTTGTGATTGGTCTTCAAGTTTGAGGAAAGCTTGGTAGACAATCGGTTTGATTCTATTTTACTTTTTGTTTAATAAAATTCTCATTGCTTATATATACTTGTTTTCTGATCAATATTGCTTGTCTTCTAATCTACTTGTTGATCTTTACTAGAAAAGAAGGTAAATTTTTATTAAAGAAAAAGTGCATAAATTTGGTTAAGATTTTAATCAACCAATTCACCCCCCTCTTGGTTGTCTTTGGGACTTACAATTGGTATCAGAGCTTGGTCTCCTTGAGATTAAGCTCTAACGGCTTGGAGTAAAGATGACAACCAGTCATGCTATGTTTGTTGAGGGGCAATCTGTTACTAGGCCTCCCATGTTCAGTGGCTCCAATTATGTTAGCTGGAAAGAAAGGATGATTATCTTTTTGCAATCTATTGATATTGAGCTATGGTTTATTGTGAGTGAAGGACCGCATGAAGCTAACTTTCTTGATGCAGATACAGGGTTGCTTCGGCCAAAAATGAGAGCTGAAATGAATGCTCAAGATAGGACTAACCTCACATTGAATGCCAAGGCCATGAATGTTCTTTATAGTGCCTTAGATTCAAATGAATCAATTAGAGTAAAAGGCTGTAAATCAGCCAAAGAAATGTGGGATAAGTTAAGAGAAATCCATGAGGGTGGTGACAATGTGAGAGAACAGAAAAAGGCCATCTTGGTCACAAAGTATGAATCATTTAAAATTGAACCTCTTGAGGATATTGACAAAATGTATTGCAGGTTCATGACTTGATCAAAGATCTCGAGGTGTTGGGCAAAGAGTACACCTTGGGAGAGAAGAACAGAAAATTCTCAATGCATTGGGCAAAGAATGGGAAAATAAAGTGACTGCAATAGAGGAGGCTAAGGATTTAAATTCTGTGCCTATTGAATCTCTCATTAACTCACTAACCTCTTATGAGTTGAAACTGAAATCTAAAGTGCAGGAGGAAGAGGATGCTAGAGCAAAGAGAAACATTGCTCTAAAGACTACTCAAGGTGAAGATGATCCAGCTCACTTGGATGATGAAGACTCGGATGGTGATGATAATGATCTTGCTCTCATCACAAGGCTTCAAGAGAATCTTGAATAAAAGGAAGTTTAGAAGGGAGGACCTAGCAATCAATTCCAAAATTATTCATCAAATGCAAGGAACAAAGGAAAACAAGAATTCAACAAGAAGCAAGTGGACAAATGCTACGAGTGTGGACAGCCTGGACACTATGCAAAAACGAATGCTCTGTAAAGAAAAAGAAAGATGGAAAAGCTGATCGAAAGCCAAGGTTCAACAACTTCCAGATTACATGGAATGAATGCAACTCGAAGGCGAAGTTGAAGAAGAGAAGAATCAGCTCAAATGGCTTTCATGGCTATTGGAGATAATGAGGTAACTTCCATACACTCTCAATCTGAAAGTGATGATGAAGAAGATGATGATCTTGAATCCTTTGTTGAAAAACTGCATAATGCCTTGAAGGAATCTTATGATAAAAACAAGCACTAAAACAGAAAATTACTTTTCTCATTCATGAAAATGCAAGTCTTCTTCAACAAAATAAACAATTAAAGACTGACAATGAATGTCTTGTAAGAGCCGGATTTGATGTTCAAATGAGCTTGATAGAAAGACAAGTATTTGTGAAATGCTGAAGGAAAGACATGGTGATTTGAAGAAAAGAATGGACAACTTGGATGAGACTTTGAAAGCAAGAAAGCAAGATTTTCTCAAAAAGAACATGTCATCTACCTTTCTTACTGCTCATCAAAGAACATTAGCACACAACAAAAATGCACATGGTTTCACAACATATAGAAGAAGTGGATTGAGATATGTCAAACCATTACATGTTAAGGATTCTTCCATTATGTGTGATTTTTGTTG